AGTTTGATGCCTTTGATGCACAGGGCTGAAAACTGATTTTTACTAGTTAACTACCTACTGCTTTCCATTGAAGATAATGATCAGGCCTGAGAGAGAGCTCCACTTTTGAGAAAATTAGGGCTTTGCTGTTCTTGTGTTCTTTGTAAGGTAACAGGAAAAAAATATTTTAAACTGCTTTAAATGCCTTGGTACTTTTTTTTTCCTTCAGTCTTACACTCTATAAATACTGCTGTAAATTGTCCTTGTATGAAACTGCTCTGAAAATTATTTCAAAGAAATCTCCAAAATGTCTACAATGTGTATTATCATAGTACTTAAAAGAGCATTTTCAGTTAGATTGCTAAATGTTGTCCAGAAGTTGGCCTTTTAAAAAATATGAATGGGGGAGGGGATCTTCCAATTAATGTCTGTGTGTCTAATTGAATATCCTTAGAATTCTTTTGAAATTGGTTTTCAAGTAAGACTCGTTGTCTGTGACTGGTCACTGTACTTGGAAAGTAGGTCAGTTTGTCACTACCCTCCATCATAAGCATTTTCTCTTTACTTCTTGAACAGTGGCTCTGAACCATTTTAGACTTGATACATTAAAGTACTGGCTTTCAGCTTTCATTCGTTTGTTTTTTAAAGTAGTAATATTTATTAAAAATAATAGAGCAATTCTGTTGCAAAAAACTTTATACTGCAACAATCCAGAATGTGTTTGGCACTATGGACTCCTATTTAAAATCTTTGAGTTTATCTTGTGGATCATACATAGGTGTTTGTACACCCAACAGTGCTAATATTGCTAAGTACACTTAAAAGAATTGCATGGCACATTGGTAAAGAATCGTTGTTCTAGAGGGATGACTTCATACAGCTGTGGGGGAATAAATAGAATTGGAGCATCTGGTTCCTTTTGCTGCTGAATACCATCCTCTCCCCCCAAGACCCAAAACTGAAACACGACAGAAGAGTCTGTGTTTAAAAATCAGCTTAAATATTTTTGGAGTATTTCTTGGGTTAGTTTGTTTGTTCGTTTGTTTGTTTGTTTGTTTTGGGGTTTTTTTGGTGGGGTGGGAGGGTTGTTTGTTTTTAATGTCATGTTCTGGCACAGGTAGTTTTAACAATAAAAGTTTTATTTGAAATTCCCCTGCATGTATAATTCAAAGAAGATTTTATAAAGTGTGTTTCTACTTCTCTAGATGGTCAGGTTAACAAAGTGTATGTGTGAACTTTGTGATTCTCGTAATGTTTACCCTCCAAAAGTTTAGTTGGCTGACTGCCTGTGTTGAAAAGTTTAATTTCTGTAGTGTTCTTGTTTGAGCTGAAAGGAGTCGATACTTAGTCTTTGTAGTCTCTAATATGCAGCAGCAGTGTAACTTTCCCTTAGGAGTTTCTTCTGGAAATAGCAAAATATATCCATATCCTTTAAACAAAGGAAGCTGAAAAATAAATAAATATATTGCTGATCATAATACATGTTCCCTCTTAACTAGATAAGTGGCAAGGTAGGGAGAAGGGACCATTTTTCCTTTTTTGTACTTGTGCCTTCAGTAACTAGTAGGATTTTTTAGTTCTCAGTATCCCAAAGTATTTGTCTTTTTATGAAGCCTATACAGCAAAAGCAGACCCAGGGACTAGATTGCCTTTTGTGTGTGTTTTTTTTTTGTACCTATACCTTCTGTTTTAAATTGAACTGTGGTGCTCAACCTGTGGCCCACGGGCTGAATCCAGCCTGTGGCGCTTATATCACCCAGCTCACAGTGTTCCCCACTGGCCCGTGAATTTGGCAGTTGGGGAGCAGTGACAGCATGAATTACTGCAACTTCCACTAGATGTCTCTGAAAGCCATGGCAATTAACGTTGCCATTGTTCCCCCGCTGCCAAATTTTTGGACCCATAGAAAGCCCAGCAGGCTAGACTGCTGGCACATAGGTTGTTCCACAGCAAGATCTGTCCTGTGGACCAACCCCACCTGCAGATCTAGCATACAGGGCTGGAAGATTGAGAGTTACTGTGTAAGAGGTTGTATTCTAGAAGAAACTATTATTAAAAGCTGCTTTGGAAATAAAACCAGGGGGGAGTGATTTTTTTTCTCTTTTTAATCATTTGATATTAAAAAAATGATTTCAGCCTTGATAAGACTTTGTTAAACTAATTTGATTACTTGTAGTATTGCAACTTCTAGTTAAAATGTAGCAAATCAAACCTTAAAGATCCTTTGTACGTTCCTTGTTTGTATAGAAATAGGACTGATTTATTTAAAAAAGCATACACATACAAGAGGGTAGGTCAGAATCATATGACTTGCTAGTTGCCCATTGAGCACAATTTGGAAACCATTTTACTTTCTTTTTTTTTTAATTTAAGCCAAGGCTGATTGAAGCATAGCAACCACAGGAGTCCAAGATCTCCCTCAGCTACCAGCAAATAGGCATAATGTACCTAAAGATTGCCATTACTGCCCAGTTATCTCATTTGAACTTTTCAGGAGTTTCTACAGGCACAAAACAAAATACTGTAAATTTAAGGCTCGATTCTATGTAGCTATTTGCATAAGGCCCATTAAATTCAGTGAGTCACCGCGTTTAATAGCATGAGCTGCATAAGTGTTTATGTAAGTGCTTTTATTAAAAATGTAGTTGCATAAAATCTTTTACTAAACATTTTCTTTATTTTCAGTACATTAAATGTATTTTGAAATATTTTAATGTACATAGGCCACAATATTCAAAACTAGGAATAAAATTAGGCACCGAAGTGTGGTATTTTCAAAGGCACTAAAATGGCTTTGAACTGACCCCAGCGCTCTTTCCTGTCCAGGGCAGGGGGTTGGACTCAATGACCTCCTTAGGTCCCTTCTGACCCTAACGTCTATGAACCTATGAAAACTCTGGTGGTAGATTATAACTTGGTCAAAGCAGTTTGGCTTCCTGGCTGCTGGAATTTCAGTAAATCAGAAAGTTATGTATGAAACGTTGTCTAGCTGCTTATAAAAGCCTCATTTGGCAAATGGCTAGTTGCCCAGTATTGCATAGCAGATGTTTAAATCTTGTAACCCAGTTCAGTACTATGTAGCAATGCCTGCTTTCCAGCCACAGACTTGCCTGGAAAGGGGAAAACACTGAAATTGGTCGGTACCTTGGCTGCTGGTAGTTCTTGATTTCAAAACTACTAGGAGCAGCCAGAAAATGACTAGTAGTCATGGAGACGCAGTTGATTTTTTTTAAAGTCTACTAGCCTTCTTAATGACAAGGTAATTGCACTATAAAGAGGTATGAGCCCCAGATTACCCATTATGTCTGTACCAACTTGGTGGCTGTCTTAATGCAGTTTAAGTGGTGCCTTTCATATAGAAATCAATGGGAAATGGCTTATGCTGTTCACACAATTATAAATGGCTACTGAATTAGCCATTAGTTGCTGCTGAGGCTTGGCAGAAGACCGTGCCTTGAGAGTGGCAGTATATGACTCTTGTTGAATTCTAGGCATCACTATGGTTTACACGTTCTTTCCATCCCAGTTCAAGGACTTGAATCATTTACTTGGATTCTGTCTCGTTTGTGACCCGCTGAACTTTTTACACTATGGCTCTTCTCTCATTACTCCTAGAAACCCAGTCCATAGCCTACCTCATCTCATTGTTTGAAATAATTTTGGCACCAGCTTGGTTTTTTTCCTTTAATTTCATTCTGACACCTTCCCCCACCTGTATCTTTTTAACCACATATATGTGTGTGCATGCTTTGTTTGTGCTGCAAAACATGTTGAAAAGCTAGAAAAGTTGCCCTGGCAGTGAATTATAGCAGTTATTTTAAATTGCATTGGAATTTATTTCAGGGCAGGCAACAGAAATATTAGGTCAGTGGTTTCAACGTGTGGTCCATGGACCCCTAGGGGTCTGCAGACTGTCTAAGGGGTGCCTGAAAGATGACTATGATCAATCAGAAATATGTGAATACTCACACTTATAATTCAAAGGGGTTTGTACCTCTGTTTGAAATTTTTAGGGGTCCACAAATGAAAAAAGGTTAAAAACCACTGTGTTACGTAATTCCTGTTAGAATTTATAAATACAGCATACCAACAATGCTCATTCTTTGCCAGCCATCCTAGATCCTACATTCTATTTTGGGGGCGAAAAAAAGTTTGTTTTAAAGTCTTAGGGAAACTTCATAGTATGCCAAGTTTAATTCCTTAATTTTAGAAAGAAAAACCTTCTTTAGGTACATTACAGCTATTTGTTGGGAGCTGAGGGAGATTTTGGATTCCTGTGGTTGCTATGCTTCAACCAGCCTCTGCTTAAATAAAAAAAAAAAAAGAAAGTAAAATGGTTTCCAAATTGTGCTCCATGGGCAACTAGCAAGTCGTATGATTCTGACCTACCCTCTTGTATGTGTATGCTTTTTTGTTTAATAGATCAGTCCTATTTCAATACAAACAAGGGACCTACAAGATTGACCCTCCAGCTATGTCAGACTGTCAGAGACGCGTTTCCTCAGGCTGGCATTTGTTACCTAGGACACTACTGTAGCAGACATAATGAGTTACTGTCATATCATGAGCTGTCAGCTTTTCAGAGGCTGGCTAAAATGATCTGCCTTGAGAAGGAGTTATGTCAGATTTACTGGAGCTGCTTAAAAATGCTAAATGACAGCAGATGCAGAGATCAACATCCTGATAAATCCTTTCCCAGCAAACGTGCAATTACTTGCATTGCTCCCTTCATTTTTTTTCTTCAAGTACCTTTTTCATATTCTAGTTTACATCTACTTTATTATAGTGCATATGTTAATAAAAATATATTTTTAATAATTTAAGATGAGTCAAGTCAATTTATCTAACCTACTTAAATTAGACTTTACTATATTTTGCATTTTGAAGTATCCAAAATAAATCATTAAAATGTTAGTTATCACACCTGGTTTCACTGTTCCATAAATACAGTGTTAGGATAATTTGAGAGAAGCTAAACTACAGAACTGCTTTTATGCAATGTAACTTGTTTTCTTTTCCAGATCAAAGTATTTTAGAACATGTTCAACTGGAGAACATTTCACTATAGAGGTAAGTACTTCTTTATTTTTGTTTTAAACCTTGAAAACTTTTGTAAAGTGTGCAATCTAACTAGGCCTTTAACATTTTTCAAGGCTTGTACAAAATGGGAGCTCTTAATGCTTTAGCCAACTGAACTAACAGTGCTGTGAAAAAAAAATGGTGTCTTCAGTGGTGCTTTCTGTGGTGGAGCAGGTAAAGGTAAATAAGCCTTGTTGGACCAGTCAGAAACTAATTTGTAGTGCATGTAGGAATGCAAGTATGTCATCTGCAGCATAGATGGACTGCTGGAGCCAGCACTGTGGGCCAGTGCTGACGAGGACCCTCCAGGAAAGTGCCCTTTGGGGCACCAGCAGCAGGACCAGGCGCTCTCCCCACCCTCAGCTGGCAGTGCAAGCAACCCAGTCCTGTGCCTGTCCCGCTAACTCAGGCCATGCAGCCCAAGTGGGGAGGCCAGGCCAGGCCAGGGATGGCCCCTGTGATGAGCAACTCCAGCTCCTATCCAGAGTGAGCCACCGCCTGGGCAGCTAGGTGCTATTCTGCTGTGCCCCAGGAAACCGCAGGCCTGGACCACCTCACCGCTACCAGGGATGGAGTCAGACCGCCTGCCATGCCCTTCTGGTAAGCCCCAACAGGGAGGAGAGTGGGGGGAAACGGAGCGCCACAGCCACCCGTGTCAGCACCAGTTCACCTACCTGCCCCCAGGCTGCACACCTGGAGTCGGGACCTGCAGCAGGGGTGGCCCTCCCACCATTCCTTCCTTGCCCGGCCTGGCTGAGTTCCCCCCTGCTCCCTGGACTTTCCTGCCCCAGCGTGCAGTGAGGCAGTTCAGAACTTTGAGCAGGCTGTGACCTCCCAGTTAGGCAACCAAGGGCCTGTGTCTTGCAGAGAAACTCATCAGTGGCAGCGGAGATCTCCTCCTCAGCTGCGAGTGTCAGGGTCTCTTAACATAGGCAGAGAGACCCCTCCAGCCAGTGGCACACGTTGCAGGATAGCACAGGCTTGCCTGAGGCGCCATCTAAGGTCAGATCCCTGTGCCAGGTTCTCAGCTGCGCCTGGGACACCATGGCAGTCAGCAGTAGCTGGGTGTAGTGAGTTGGGAACCCCTCTCTGTATTCAAACAGCTCATCATTATGTGCCTGGGAGGTCTCTCAGTAGGGGCAAACTTAGGGTGCAGGCCATGTGCAGCAGGAACCCTGGTCTTAGACAACTCTCTGGAGAGGGCCACCAAGGAGAGCGGGGGACATCACCAGTTCTGCATCCGGGCCAGGCAGGAACCCCTCATCTCACCTAGGCACCACAGGCCTGGTGGCACAGGAGAAAACTACCTGGCCTGTAAGGTGGAGAATGGAGAGGAGTTGGTCCAGAGCTGCCATGGCAGCTGCCAGCAGGAGCCAGCCCTTGCCTGGCTTGGGGACAAGACAGGGAAGGCAGGCTGCTTGCCACAGATAGCAAGTAGCCTGCCTGCCCCTCCAGAGGGAGTGGAAATAGAGGGCTCAGCCAGTGGCCACCTGTGTCGGGGCCTGCCCAGCCAGCTTACCATGGTCCCTGGGCACCTGTGCACACATGATCCCCAGTCTGAGGCTGGGTAGCACACAGCCCCTCTGTACAGTGCATGTTATCTCTGAAATGCTGTAAACTCTTACAGACAGCCTTTCTGTCCTTGCTCTGCAGGTTC